ACACAACGACAGGACGGGCAAAGAGTCTCGTCAGATCCCAGCTAAACAGGTGTGTGGCCTGTCATTTAGTCCGGCGACGACATCAGCGACCGGACAGACAGCGAGAGCGGCTGCGCTTTCATCATCCATCACCATCCCTTACCACCCTCTTCCCCAGAACAGGCGGCTCGACATCGCCACAAACCTTTTATCGCTCTTCCCTGCCTCCTGCTATTAACTCGGCCCAAATAAGGACCACCTTTCATAGTTTTTTCATCTCTTCAACCTTTCATCCATAACGAAAAACAGGGCCTCTATATTCGTCTTCATTCGGGCGCCGTTCGTCATCCGCATCCCGCACACATTCTCGCCCATCCGTCTGGTCCCTGTCTCCAGTACGGTCTCAATCCGAAACAAACAGGTCGACCAGCTGCCTCGTTCAGCCTGTGCCTGTGCCGCCTCGAATACCAACCTACGACGGCGATTTGCTATTTCCCCCACTTGGGTGCCCGGAGCCTGGTAGTTGACTTGATAGCCCTGCCAGCATCAGCGGAACAACATCCATCGCTGCTCCCGAGTGTTCCATCTTCCGTTCCTGGGACTTGTCAGCATCCTCGTCCTCGCTGTCAGACCCAGCCAACTCTCGCTGCAATTATCATCAAACACGAGCGGCTGCGATTTTTCGAATGAATAGCATCGATTGTTCGGCATCCTCTTCCCCCTCATTCTCCCTTCCGCTCTCCGCTCCGACTCTTCTCGCTCCGTCCTCCTTGTTGTAATCATTCTCAAACATCCTACCCGCTGCTGCTCCCCGCATCATCCCCTGCTTGAACCACTGCAACCAACCACCACCCCTAACAAGTGGCTTCGTTCGCCTCAGCCTCACAAGTCGTAGGCTACCGTCTCGCCCTTAAATCGCTGCGACTCCCACAGCTTGTCCGACATTGTTAACTCTTGACATCATCGACTTTCGATTATGGCGACGGCCTTCAGATCTGTGAATGCCGCCAACCTGTCAATAGATATCAGTGCAGACGAGAAGATGGCCACATCACCGACGACCCCGCGGCCCAGCACCGCGCCGCAATCCCAGCCTCCGTCTAAGACGACCGACGATGCGACCACGCCGACTCGCGCTACATTTGGTGCCAGTGCCTTGTCGCAACAGAAACCACTACCTACATCACCATTTCCGCAGGCTGTGCAAGTACCCGACTCTGCCGAGAAGAAGGTTCCGACGAGAGAGAACTCGCAACACTCGAGGAAGTCAAGAGATTCTGAGGACATGGATATGGATATCGATGATTCGGATGGAGACAACGGTGCGGGCGATGATGGGGCTTCCGATGGAGAGGAGAGTGTCAATGCCGACGGGACAAGATCCAACAAGAAGAAGAAGTCGCAGCGATTCTACTGTACGGACTACCCACCTTGTAACTTGAGCTTTACAAGGAGTGAACATCTCGCGAGACACATCAGGTGAGTCTTCTCTCAATCCTACCAAACATCCGGTTAAGACCGCTGATTGATATTTCCTACAGAAAACATACAGGTGAAAGGCCTTTTCAATGTCATTGCTCCAGACGCTTCTCTCGTCTAGATAACTTGCGGCAACATGCGCAAACTGTACATGTCAATGAAGACATTCCTATCGACTCACTTGCAGCGACAGGAACGAGGTTTCAAAGGCAGATCCGTACTGACCGAGTGCGACAGCCTGGCAGAGCAAGGGCATCGACTGCTGGCAGCACCGGAACGACAGGCCGGGGGCATTCCAAGTCTCTCTCGACATCAAGCATCGCCAGCATCGGCTCTGTCAACTCAAATTTCAGTCCACGGGAGGATGCTCGAAGACGGCCACCGCCGCTTGTCATGGCTGACCCTCGATCAAGACTATCTCTGGAATCTTACCGCAGTGGCGGAGAAGGTCAGTATGCATATCGTCCAGCATCTCCGAGTGACTTCAGCACCCCGACCTCCGCAACCTTCTCCACTGGCCAAAATAGTCCTCATTGGGGATCGGGTGTGGCATCGCCTACTTCATCCCACTCTCGTGCTCACAGCATGTATGCAACGGGGTCTCGCACACCTGGCCGTCGCCTCAGTGTCCCCTCTGGTGGTAATCCTTTCCAGTCACCGCATGGCGCAAATGTTGGTCGGGCCTTGTTCGGCCCGGGCTCCATGAACTCTTCTAATACCGCTGTTTTCTCGTCGCCAAACGGAAGCGTTCTCGCCTCGCCAACGACATCTACCGCTGCATGGTCCAGACGCGAGTCGATGTCTAGTGCGGCAGATGAGGCATGGCGGAGAAGAACATGGCATCCGGACAGCAGAGATTTCAGCGCTGGTGGAAGTCGATTGAGCAACGTTATCACCCCTGGACAGTTCTCGCCATCTCCCGTACCCCTTGCTGTCACAAACAACGGCGGCCTGCAGCAGACTCTCCGCTTGCCTGGCATCGAATCTTTTGACCCCGTACCTCATCGTCCAATCACACCACCTCGAAGGAACCCATCTCCCATGATGATTGATAGTGAAACCGCCAACCCCCCTGCACTGCTTCCCGCAGCTTCAGTGTCTGAGGATCGGCGCAACGTTTCTCAATGGGATATGGGCTTGCACCGTGGGTTGACTCGGCTTGACATCAACAATTCAAGCACCCCGCCTAGAGATAGCGCTGGAGCTTGGGCAAATGAGGTAAATCAAGCTGTCCAGGCACAAGCAGAACAGGTTCGAATGACTCAACCGACTGTTCGATTTACGGAGCCTCAGCCGCAGATGGTGCCAATGCCGCAGGTGACCATCAGTGCCGCTCCTCCAAGGGGTCATCAGCACACTGTGTCCGCCCCATCAATTTCAACGCCACGAGATACAAAGAGACACGGCTGGTACCACGGACCGGTCACTGTTCACGAAGACCGGGTCATGGAGAGCAGACCACATGTGGACCGAATGGTGCACCCAAATATCAGTGGTTGGAGCGGCCTACCGACACGGGAACAACAACCGCCGATTCAACAACAGCCCCCTCCTCCAACAAATGGTGACTCTCTGAGACGCCTCGAGGCCTTGGTCGCTGTTGCTACAAGCGAGGGATCAACGGCCACAGCCTATTGATCTTGAGATTCCAATTGATCTCGAGAAACACTAGCGTTAGTGAGAAGATGCGTACTCTCTTAGCCTTCATCACATGTCTGTGGCAGTCACATATGCACATAAATTACGAAGTTATGACTTTTCTTCGACGACAGAAGACGGATGGGACGCTCCACTAGGACTTGCATCCGGCACACATGCATTGCAGGGGATAGGCATTGCACTATACATTCGCTATCTCATTTCATTGCTTATTGAGCGTCTATATACCATGATGGCGTTTTGCATTTATATGCTTTAGGGAATACGCCCGGCGTTCGGAATACACGTGGTTTCATCCATTGGCGATTTGCATGAGTCGGCCACTTTACACATTCGCTGCATCACACACTTCCACACATCTCGGTCCCTTACGGCTCCGTATCTGTCGAAACTCTCAGCTCCCGTGATACACCAAACAAGGTCTCTCCCTGGGTATTAATCTACCTCAATGATTCGGTTTACTTGCTTTACGATATCTTGTTCCGGTTTTGTTTGATATGGATCGGTCACATGGCGGTCTTGGGCACGGTCTCGGTCAACATTTTTATGCAATCTAGATGCTTTCTTATGTTTGGGTTCGGTTTATGCTACGCGATCTACGACTCTTTCTGCTTTATTACTGTTGATCAATTATGATGCCGGAAGGAGAACTGGATAAGGTGCCCTACTCGCCATTGACGTGAGGTATGGGCAGGTAATAGTGGTTTTCATTTGTGTTCCGTGATACCCAAACTCCGAGGGTATTTCTCGTCTTCAATTTTGTCCACGGCATTACATTTGACGATCCGGCAGATCCTATGCATAGGGACGGGAGAAGAAGACATGATGAGAAATCGGATCGCAAATGACGACGGGAATTTGGGTGGTAAACATGGGCTGGGATCGGAATGGATATTTTAGCGGGATGGGATTGATACCCTGGTATTTAGTGCAATGCAATCGCTCCAATATTTGAACCATCTCGGTGTGGATGAAAATGTGAAATAGTGAAAAGATCGATCTGTTAAACAATGTAGATCTTGGAAGGCCCAGGGTAAGTGTACATGGGCAGGTGGTCGTAGTGTAGGAGTGGGGGAGAGCTTCACATAAGTCTGAAACAATAAGACGACGACCATTTCGCACGTTTCTTCATTGTAGTCAAGACGTGCCACACTTCACCAGCGGCGTTTGCCCTTCTGGTGCCTCCCTTCATGCATCCAAGCGTCCTCCTCCAAGACTAGGCCAGTCATCATCGCAGTTTCGATGTGTAGGTAGGTGAGGTGTGGCTCATCATCTGGCCCAGCACGACGTCATCTCTTCCCCTCTTCAGGACGGGCACCCCCTGCTCGCCACGCGGTGATTCGCCCGCGCTGACATCCCCCATCCTGGCACATCAGCCACATCAACGTCAACGTCAACGGGCAACCCAGTCGGATGATGTGTGGCACGCAAAACCGGGCAGCGAGAGGCTTGATATCATTGATTGTATGTACGTAGTTATGAGAACATGTATGGCTTGTGCTGCTGCTATTGCTGGGGTGAGTGAGTGGATAGTGCACACATGCGTAGGCAAGCAGGCAGGCAGGCTGGTCAGTTAATATCATATAAGACCTGGCCATGCCTGCCTTTTGTTGAAAGGGCATTTCTTGTTTGGAATACTTCTACAGTTTTGTGATACCCATATTTCAAATTTGGATCTTGGACTCTATTCCGTTTTAACCTTTGAGACGCTTTACTCGTTCTTGTAAGTCAACCTAGCGGTAGCCGTTCCAGCCCTAATACTGGCGGCCCGTTCCACCCTTTCACCCACCCCTGCCCAGCCACATTCTGGCGATGCTACCTCAGATCTGATAACTAACACACATCACTAGCCATAGCCAATACTTCAGATTCAACACTTCAAGATGTCTCAACCACAAGTTCCCGGTGTGATTTCCCAGGAGGAGAAGAAGCAGTCATACACCGAGTGGGGGAAGGATCAGTACAACAAGCAATACGAGAAGTGGGTGCCATGGCTGGAGGATCTGTACCTGAGATACTTCACAAAGGACAACAAAGCGAGCTACACCACCAAGGGTGAGTAATCCATGTACTTGAGGGCCACGACCGCTTTCTCGCCACGCGATTTCCATTGTCCTTCTTGCGCGCCTATCTTCCAAGTACTATCAACATGGCAGCACGCTAACAACCATCCCCACAGACACGCTCGACAAGAGCAAGGTCACCGGCATTGAGCAGGTCGACACCCTGCAAGACGGCGTGCACAACCTCGTGGCTGGCCAGGTCGGTCAAGGCGGGCTGGCCCAGCCCATCGGCGACCACTTCTCTAAGGAGGGCCTCAACCGCGCCGAGCGCCAGGGCAAGGACGACAGCGGTAGCTATACCCCCGGCCCCGCGGGCTCGGTCGTCAACCCCGTCGTCGAGGGAGGTCAACAGGTCGGGACCCAGGCGGTCGAGGGTGGCAAGGCGCTCGGTCGGGGCGTGGGCGGGCTATTTGGTGGTGGTGGCAAGCAGAGGACGAACCCCGTCGAAAGGAAGTAGATGTGCTTCAAAAAGGGGTTTCTGAAAGTCCTAGGATACTGGATTGTTGGGGTTTATTATGATTCATGACCCTTCATGCTCTGTTCTATGCTGTTCGGGGGGATGGATTGCGTCTGTTCATGGCGAGACTGTTAAGAGTATTCGTTGAAATACTTTTGCCTCTTTTAAGTGCGAGGATAAATGATCCTTTGCTTCGATTTGCGATATGATTATAATACTATTGATTTTTATTGTCTGAATTCTTGGTATTACATCATGTTAGGACAGAATTGTCCGACATGTTTGTCTCTCGTCATTGAAATATCCAGTCGCTTGTGTCTACGATATATAGCATTCTCACCTTTGAAGTACAAGCGGCGTGTCAACATTTGTCCAGTATAGATTGAATTTACCGGTTACTATTTATAAACTTGTTCTCTAACATAGTTCTACCTAAAATGGATAAATCTATACAGTTTAGACGTAGTTCAAGTTGCTAAGCGGCCACGACAAGCTTATACTTCTCATATTCGGGGTTGCATACAAGCAATATCATAGGGCCCCATTGTTCGTGTGATGCAAGCAACTAATTCGATGGCTGCCACTCCTGCAGGATCCGAGTCCCGAAAGTCCGTCAGCTGTGTAGAGATACTCCTCATCCTGTGTTTGAAGCAGCTAGAGCAGAACTAGGTTGTTGAACGGCGCAGAAAGCACACTAAGGCGGCATTTGCTGGTCAATTGCCTTGAGTGCATGTGCAGGGAAATCCTCAGCAACGCCGGTCATTTGCCTCGGAGAGGCTCAACAGGATGCGATGATGTTGGGGGGTCTTTGCGCGGCACAGTTCACCATCTACCCGATTGAGAAAAATCTCACTTCTGACTGGGGTAAGTCTGCTCCCAGTAGATCCGATTTCCAGGAATTTGTCATGGACCTTGTGGGCGTCTTTTGATCCTTCGTGTAAGCTTGGAAGTAATAAACCTCGTCGACCCCTCCGAAACCAAGACAATAAAACCCGATCTTTCAATAACAGCCAGGTGATCTGGGGTTTGTGATTAGCGCTGAGTTGATAAGAATCATTGTGTTGCTGTCATACCCTCTCGCCTCATCTACCATGACGTCCCAAGAAGAATTGAACTCTGAATCTCAGAGCAAGGATCTGCCGTTTCCCAAATACTTTTCGGCCCTCGCTGCGAACTATGCACAACATACTGGCGACAGTACACGCCGTATGTTCGAATTGTCTTTCGATGACATCCAAGCAATAAGTCCCATTACCAAGGACTCTATAGTTCATGATAATGCTGCGGGCCCGGGAACGGCAACGTCGATTCTCGTCGAAAAATTCCCAGCTGGCGAGCTGCCGGCGATCTTGATCACTGATAATGTGCCGCCGATGATACAAGGTGCGAAGGAGTCATTTGCAAGCTGGCCGAGGATCGAAACCCGTCTGCTTGATTCGCTCAACATGCAGGATATTCCCGCCGACCATTTCACGCATAGCATTCTAAACTTCAGCGTCTTCGCCTTCTCCAATCCTCTCCAGGCACTACAGGAGATTCATCGCACGTTGAAGCCCGGTGGCCTGGCTGCCCTCTTGACCTGGAAACGATTCGGTGCCGGCGAGGTAGTCCATGCCGCACAGGCAATGGTGAGACCGGAGCTCCCGCCGATGAAGGTTCCTCACTCCGAGTTTCTCGAAGAGGGCGTCTTGCGAGATAGCGCTGTTGAGGCCGGATTCGATGCTTCGGCTATTCATGTATCGCAGCAGAGCCTTGTCGTGAATGGCCCCAACCTCGATAACGGGTTGAAGAACTTTCTGCTTGGAGACTTCACTCGACCAGCTCGTGCTGGGTGGACAGAGGAAGAGGCTGGTCGGTGGCCTGAAGTCATTGGCAAGGCAATCCAGAACGAATTGGAGCTCTATGGCGGCGTCAAGTTTGAGTCATGGGTGGTCATCGCGAAGAAATAGTGGTCAGGGTGTCCCGGAATGTTTATCGAAGTCAGTCTGTTGTCCTATGCCCAAGTGATTCCCCAACGTTTGGTAGATCGTTCACGCGCCTTTCCCTCGCTTTCTTACAAGCGGTATAGCGGTAAAGAGCAATGTCGAGGCCAGAATGCAAATGGCAACACGTCTTGGCCAATGGCGCCGTCATAGGTCCGAAAACACAAACAGCCGATCCTCTAATACCTTTGACTACCTGTCCAGTCTTGCCGCAGAGATTACACTTTGGCTGCGCAGATTTCCCACGATTAGTCTTCACAAGTGTGCTGCATGGGTGCGATAGTCACGAAGTTGTCTGCGCTGGGGATGGTGGCAGCAAGAACAGTCATAAACAACGTATGCATGGTTGATTACCGTCTATTTACAAGTGCAAAATCCCAGGCCATGCTATCCTTGCCCAAAACTCCAGATCCCAGCCGCCCATCCCGTAATGAGTGTAGCCCCCGATCCCAACCGGTAGTCGTGACAACCTGAATCGTGACATTGTCTTTTCCACTAGACCAAGTCCAGACATTGTACATCGTCTAGCTATCTATATATGGCTGTTTCATATGTCTAGCATACTTCTCACCTGCTGAGGCGGCCCAGACACCGAGTTCGTAGTGCCGGTGCTATTGCTACGCTCCGTTGTGGACGGCCGTTCTGCTGTCGGTGGGCGGCCCCTATCCACATACGGTGGCGGCGGCGCCGGACCCTCGCCCATCAGATATGCCCTTCTATCTGCGCTGGCGTTGGTCGCCGCGTTCGGGAACAGCAGGCCCGCAGCGACCTCCATGGTCCGCTCGGACCTACGACGATCAGACCTGCCGGAATAGGGGTTGAGAGGCGGTCTGGCGGCGTCGTAGGCCGGCACTGAGGAGGCGTTAGAGTCGAGCCTGCGCATCGCGCCCATCTCGATAGGCGCCCCGCCGTTCGCCTCCGACTCGCGGGCACGCGTGTCCGCCATGCGGTCGATGTTGCGCGCCGTGGCGCGGCCGCCGCCGATCTCACGCACGTTGCGCGCGATGCGGTCGCGCATGCTCTCGTTGCCGTTGTTCTCGCCGTTGACGCGACGCCACCACGCCGGCTTGTGCACAATGCCGAGGTCGCGGTCCTGCTCGATGCCGCGCAGGCGTCGCTGGCGGATCAGCTCCCTGTCCTCGTTGGGGGTGAGCCAGCCGGAGATGATCTGCACAATAATGATGAGGACGGAGGGTGCGAAGCCTCCTGCAAAGATGGCGGCGTTGTTGCCCTTGACGTTGAGCACCGAGTACTGGAATTGCCACGAGCAAAGAGCTTGGTAGGCCACCATTGCTAGGGACAGAGGCACGATCAACATGAAGCGGACGGGCGTGTAACGGATCAGCCCGACTGCTCTGTTGATGACGCCCCGGTTCCGCTCACGATAGTGCTTGATGGAGTGCCGTAGCGAGACGAGAATCGTGAGCCAGCATATGAAGAGGCAGAATGCAGCGGCCTTGAAGCGCGCGTCCGTTGCTGACGGCACGGCTCGTGCGGCAGTCTGCTCGGCGGAGCGTTGCAGTTCAATCGGGCCCCAGCTCCTTGGGACAATCAAGAAGAAGTTCTAAGGATGTTAGTCTATCAAGCATGACACGGAGAGGTTGAGGGAAACAAACCAGCCATAGCCAGAAGTAGAAGAACAGCGGCAGCCAGAACTCAAACATGGCCCTCTTGTCGTCCTGTCCGAGGATGAACGGGTCCGGGTCGATATATTGCCTCTCCATCCAGCTGCCCCAATGGCGCACGGCTTCCCACACAATCGCCATGGTGCCGATCTCGACCAGATACCAGAAGAAGCTGTGCAGGACGATCGGGATCTCGGGCAAGTAATACCGATCCACGTCGACGTTGGTGATCAAGCTGATGAGGCCCATGGCGCACACAAAGATTGCCCAGTACCATTGCCAGCGACGTCCAATGGGCCAAAAGCGCCTCGAGGCAGGGAGGAACATGCGGCCATGCTTGCGTAGGTTCATGAGCACGGCGAGGAGGCACAGGCCGAACGCCACGGTGAAGCCCATGCCGACGCCGCCGCGCACGCCAATCGACTTGATGGGGCTGTAGCACGAGGTCGAGTTGATGAAGGAGCCATTGGCAAAGACAAACTTGGGCGTGTAGGGGTCGAAGGTGAGCAGGCACCGGCTGCTGTTGGAGAGGGTGCCGTTCGAAGGGTAGTAGGTGAAGTTCCAGTGGTCGAGGGCCGTCGCATTGAAGTGAATGCCTCCGATGATCGTATCGGTAGAATTGTCACCACCAGGGAAGGAGAGGAGGTCCCGCGCGTCGAAGATGGGCATCGCGGCGGCGTGTGTTGCGCGCACCCGGAGGCGGCGGATGCGGCGGGGAGGAGAGCGAGGTGTGTGTGTGTGTGGTGATGGTCTAAGTCGGAGCGACGCGAAGCGCTCAGAGGAACTTAGAAACGCCGTTGCATCGCAAGATGTCACAAGCGGAAGAGAAGAGTAGGGCAACGACGACGAGGACGAGGACGACCGTTAGGAATAGACACGGGAATTTATTAGAGAATTATATGGATATGGATATGGAATGGGAATGGCCCGTCGACAAGTCAAGAGGTCGGAAGAGGCGGATGGAGAAGAACGGGGCCGTTGACAACAAAAACTTGACCACTGCGAAATGCGAAATGGCTGGACTTGCCGAAGCTCCGGGGGAGCCTTGGGAAGATTTTAATCACTCAAGGTGGGGAGGGGAGCATGCCTCAGTCAGTACCGTAAGACGGACAAACACGCCAATTGCACGGCTCGGAATTCCTCAATGCCAAAGAACCGCTCTTCTATCTCAATTGTCAATTGACCGTGGTGATTAACTATGTCAGCATTGTGTAGACAAATTGTAAGGGTAAGGGACTCTGGCAACTCATCACTCATCACTCTTAGTCTTGCTGCCTCCTCAGATGTTTCTTCAGTTAACGTTATGACTTCACTGACAGACAAGCCTTGTAAGCAAGCACCCCCCAGCAGCAATAATGTGGGGCCGCAGACGGGAAGCTCCAACAGTCAGTGCAGTGCCGTGCACTCCTCGTTATCCCCTTTGGGCTTGGCGTCAGTTAGGAGCGTCGAACAGGTAGCTGCAGATGCCAAGTCCACCAAACCTCATCTGCCCCTCGAAGCTCAGCTCCACCGCCCGCCCACACGACAGCATTGGCAGGTATTCTGCCACGTTTGGGGGATGACTTCCGGAGTCTTGTCTAGACTGACGACAATCCATTGATCCAGTCAATGGCCTTACCAAGGTCGCCACCACAGCCTTCCTTCCGACCATCCTCAAGATGACCACCACTCGAGAGGAGGAAGAGCCCTCATACATTGATTACGAAGCCTTTCTCGACCCTGGATTCAGCCCGGCGTCATTCGCAAACACCCTCGTGCTCGCGACTAACAATCCCAACGATGTGCCCCTAGATCTCTCGACTCCTCTCTCAAGAGTCCTCTTCGACATTCAGGAGATTGACTCGCATATCGACCTCCTCACTACACGATCTGCCATTCCACTGCTTGCTCATACCAAAGAGCAGACCGACGCCAGCGGTCGCATCATCAGCGAGATCGACGGCCAGGTCAAATCGTTGAACGACAGCTACAAACAGCTCGAGAAGGAGGTCACACAAAAGCATGCAGAGGCGGATGAGGTCCGGCAAGTTGCCTCGAGACTCTGGGAGACCCTGAAGCTCGGCCGAGCTGTCGGCAGATGCTTACAGCTAGGGAGACAGCTCGAGCTTCAGCACGCAGAGCTTGCGCCTGGCACAAAGAAGGAAGACCATAGGGCCCTCGTACGATGCGCGCATACGATACTATCACTACGAGAATACTTCGAGGCTAAGGCACCAGGAGAGGAGGGACACGGTTTAGATCGGGTGGACACCGTACGAACCCTCCAGGACAGCATTGTCTTGCCGATTGAGCGGTCTGTCCGCGAGACATCTGAGCGCCTCATCCGAGAGTTCTCAATGGGGAGCGCCTCGGGATCTGCAACATTCGCTCAATCAGAGGAGGCAAAAGCCAGGACTATCTCGGCGCTCGTCACACTTTACCTGATCTCGCCGACGGCACTGGCAAAAAATGAGAAGTGGTCGCCGACTCTGATGCTGCAGGCGCTAGAGGTATATCTGCGGACCGCCCTGCAGAGTAGCATAGCGTCGCTCGCACGGTCTCTAGCAGCTTTGCCAACACTTGAACGCACACTCGCCGAGGTCAGTGCGAGGTGTCAGAACATTATCGCCCTTGAGATTGTGCTGGAGTCTACCAAAGCGCCACCTCACCCGCTTGTCCCGTCACTGGCGGAGAGGAGCCCTGGAAACTTCCTGCAGCCTCTTCTGTCCTACCTTGAAACTGGATCTCTACCCTCATACTTCTGGCGCACAATGGCGAGTAGCTTGTCGACAAGAGTGCAAGAAATCATGAACCGCGGCGGAGTATCCGCTCGAACATTACGGACGAACAAGAATAATGTTGGTGATGCTATCAAAGACTGCGTTCTGCGGGGTGTTCAGCCTCCAAGTGCCGTTGCTGCTGGTGCAAAGGCGAAGAGCGAAAAGGCTGGCGGATGGGAGAGGGAGGTGGCAGTCATGGTCGGGAGCGTAGTCGGCAATCTAGGCCGATAGCATTGATGAAGGGGTCCTGGGGTCATACCTAGGTAGTATCAATATTATAGGTTTGTTCCGGGGGCCTATAAAGATCCATGAAATCTGAACGTCAAGAAAAGAGGGAACAAGTTTCCAAAGAAATCGAGAGCATAGACCATGGCGTATATCCTGCCCAACATGAAGTTTTGAGCGTTACTTGATAATGGTGCAAGCCTACCCCTTGTTTGCTTGATTTCATGTTGTAACTATTCTGCCAAGGGCTTAATTCATCTACGTCGATCCTAAAATTGTCGAAAATGAAACGTGGAAAGCCTAGATTGATATGCGTACCACAGATCGAGTGCATATATATATATATATTTATAGAACAATTTTGACGTCTTCTCTTATCTTTTTGCGTATATTATAAGCCCATATCGTGTCCATCCAGGGACCCATTTCGAGCACAATGGACCCGTCACACGTCCCTAATCGTTCAGAGAACTCGTTCCACAGCCAACAGCCCCCGTCAAACGCAGAAACAATACCATCAGCCTCACAGCCAGGGCAACGAGTCTCTCCCACCGTAGAAGTGGCCACGGTGTGGAAATGACCGCAGGATTTACACTCCCACCATTTCGGCTGTAGACGACCGGGCATCATATTGAGATCGTCTCCCCATTTGACGGCCTGGTTATCGGCGTTCATGAAGATGTTTGTCTCGCCTCGCACTGACTGTTTGCACTTGAGACATTGACCTCGATGATATACGTTGATTCGTTTGCACTCCTCTCCATTTTCATTTTTCCGAAAGCATCTCCACATAACAGTCGAGACTCTCTGGTCAGGGAATCTCGACCGGCCGACTTGTTTCTCCGTCAGCCCACGGATCGCATACGGACTATGCTTGAGCAATTCATGTATCGTGATGGGAAGCTCATGTTTCGTTGGTGGAGACCCTGAGAAGACTGGCAATTTCGAGCTCATTGTCTACCTGATTATACCACGTTTGCACACAACAAGCAACTGCATAAACAAGGCAGTGACTGCAGAATGATGGAAGTAGCTTGAGAGATGCAATTTTTATATAATGCCCCCAAGAGTAGTAAAGATGTGCCAATATCATATAATGTGAATCATTGTGTAGGACTTAGCCAACGGCATATAAGCTGTTGCCCTCGACATCGGATGCCAGAGCTCTGTGTCCCGGGTACATTGCTCTAGCGAGCACAAAAGGACTTGAGATGGGTCCAACCATGCACAAGATTTCCCCAGCTAATTCTACCAAAAAGGGACCAGCGATTGCATTCTATCTTCATGTTGGGTTCCTTCCGAATTCCTCGAGTCCAAAATGCTTCCAAGCAGCGGACAAGGCAGCAAAGTCTGGATAGAGCCTTGTCCCTTGACCGTAACAGACAAACCTACATGTTACACCATTTATGTTGTGAGGGGTTTGATGTCGAAGTTGATATGCCGGTTGTGCGTGTTCGCCACGTTGTGTCAGACACTTTGACACCTGAGCATGTCAAACTTGTGCCATGCTCCGCCCAGTCCCATCTCTACCACCCAATCAGGCGCGCCGCGAACCTTGCCGGGGCAAACACCACGCTTTGTAACATCGTCATCTGTTTCCGGACAATTTTCTGCCGCAAAGCTGCAGCTTCATTGGCATGTGGGAATGGCATGTCCGGAACCTCCTTGCCAAGGAATTTGCATAGTGGCTCCCATCCGTCTGCTAGGTTGAACTCGAGGAGATTTTCCGCGGGAACCTTCTCCTTGATTTGTTCATAATGCTGTCGATACTTATCTCGGGCATTGGCCCTGATGGTCTCGACGTCTAAAGCCCCGAAGAACCCATACATTATCTTTCGGTTTGCAGGTCCTGCCACGGACCCTAGGAGAGGCTCGACATACGAGACGAAGAACTCTGGAACGGGCCCCCAAAGGGCCTTGAGCACGCTTTCGTCGAGGCTCTTGTACCACCGTTCAATGTCTCGCCGCACGAGGACGATCTTGGCTTCCGGGTACGCCTCGATGAGCTGAGGCGCAAACATAGAGGCAACATCAGTGACAGCCTCGCACGGTCCAAAAAGCTGGTCCCAATCATCGCGAGTGAAAGCTTTGCCCGTGTAAGTCGGCAGGTTGGCGAATGTCGCATCTGCGGCCTTATCAAAGATCTGCCAGTCGGTAGGACTGTCAACGGCATCCACACCATCTTGATGCAGGTCAGTACTTGCTTCATTAGAACACCGGCAGATAGCTAGGTGAAGGATTTCACAAGAGCAAATACCCAGCATTGAAGTGGGTCTCTGTCTTGAATCCCTCAATGGTGGCTACGGGAGGCAAGGGGGCTCATCTACAAGAATCGCTTACGGTAAACATCTTTAAGACCGAGCACGGTCAGAGCTTCCGCTACCGAATATGTGCCCGTGCGTGGAAGACCGAGAGCCAGCACTACCATCGGCCGCGCGGGCCCTTTTGCAGGAGGCGGAGGCATGGTGAGCTGGTCGCCTTGGGAGTGCAATGCTGTGATGATATTAAAAGGCTAAAGAATGAAGAAAAGCAAATAATTGAGGTCCAAGCTTTAAAATACCACGCGCGAAGAACAGACGCCAAGCAGATAACGTCTATTTAGAGGACCGAGAGCCACCGTGCCGCGAATCGCTAGTCTAATGACCGGGACAATGCTGGCATCTTGCTCCCATCAGCCCTAGCTGGGATGTACTGTCCCTGGGGCAGGAAATTAGAGCTTGCTTGATGCCCCTGACGCCGCTGACGATCATGGATTAGACTGGACCGCAATTTTCTCCCCGTGAGTGGTCTTGTCAAGCCCTTCGGCGTGGAACTCCGTAGCGCCACTGGATCCTGCCTCCACACCGCCCCGACTTCCGAACAATTCATCTTCGTCTCCAAAGATTCTCGCGATCTCTTCGAGAGGCAACCGATTGGTATCAGGCCAATAGACGAGAATTAGAACAGCAGCTATGCTGCTCGGAATGATAAAGCACAAATAATACTTCCAGCCGATGTTCTCGAGAGCTGTTGGCGCTGCCTGCAGCCAGACTATGTTTAGGAGGCAGATGCCCGCAACGCCAAGCGAGATTCCCTTTGCGCGAAGATGGAAAGGGAAGATTTCTCCGAGCACGCTGAATTGGACATTGTTCATAAACTCGTAGCAAGCAACGTACACTAAGAAGAGGGATTAACTCTGGTCGACCTGCTAGTCTTGCGGACTGTGCTTAACGTACAGAAGATCATTGCAACAGCAGCCTTCAATGCACTCTTATTGACGTCTGGGCCAATTGGATTGCGAGCAACGAGAATGCATTCTACAATGAGAACGATGACACAGGATATCATCCCACCGGCGATCAGCTTCGGTCGCGGCACCCGGTCAACTATGAACATTGACAGCACACTGGCAACAAAGGCCGTCGAGACCCATGAAGCCGCAAGTGCTAATTGTGTAGCAGTGTGGTAACCAAGACCAGCATAGATTGTTGGGCCGTAGACTATTGTAGAGTGAGCGCCATATCTTGGCACTAGTACGAATTAATGAACTTACTGTTAATCACCAATATACCAGAGAATTGAATGCTTGCTGTGGTTCCGAATCCTAAGATGGACCGCTTTCTGTAACTGGGTTTCTTGAAGAGCATGGTCAGCCAATCATTTGGTAACGTCCTATCTATAGCGATTTGTGACTTGATTTGCTCCATCTCGATATCTGCTTCATGCGGCTCATGTAGTTTAAGAAGGACAACTCTCGCATCATCGATCCGGTCTTTCATCACCAACCATCGTGGTGATTCTGGTATCCATGGCATACATATCAAGAGAATAGTAACAGGTAAGCATTGCAATGCCAACATCGGACGCCATTGGTTATTCGCCTTTGGATGGAAGAAGAAGAAACCGTAGCTACCCCAGATGGCCACGTTATACCCAGCGAGAAGGACTAGACCCATGAGAGTGATAAAGCCTCCTCGATTCTTGGGCGGCACAACCTCATTAACCCATATGGGCACAGCGGCGAGGAGAGAGAACGCACTGCATGCTGATTAGTGCTGACATCAATATCCAAATCTAGAAAGACATACCCCGCTCCAGCAATGAATCTGAACAGGATAAATTCCCCGATGTTGGATGAGCCTCCGAGAAAAGCACCAGAGACCAAGGTCAAAATCGAGGGCTAGTGCAGTTTGAGTAAATCCAGGAGGGAAACCAAGCTTTGCTCATTAGATTCCCGTACATAAACTATTCCCCATTTACGCCCAAATTTGTCGGCAACCCAAGGCACCGTAAAAACAACCAGAAAGCCTCCGGTGGAGTATAAACCCTAAACACATCAGTCAAGAACACGAAATTGCTGTTCTATATCTTACAGTCATTGTGGAGATCAGAGCAGTTGCGTGCTTTCTAGTCTCCAGGTCATAGTACTCGATGAAACTTGGTTGAGCTATGTCTACAGATCAATTTAGGTATTGAACGCTTTGAAAATCCTGCTCACCTAGGGTTGGCCCTATTATAGCAGTGCTATATCCGTAGGCAAAGGCGCCCCAACTCATTGTAATCACCATGAAGACATTGTACCAGTTGAATTGTCGCTTGTCAGTAGCCTGATTGGGCAAATCTCTAGATGTCTTCATCTTGAAATAGCGGTAAAAGCAATTGAGGTACGGCTTTGTTTTCGTAAGAGAAGAGAAGAACGAAACTCTAGATCATGGCTCGCCGTCTACATGGCTTACCTTTATATGATCTTAGGGGAGCCATGAGCAGTCACCAAGTTGGACCCCAAGGCTTCTAAAGCGTGTGTCTGCATCAGCATCTGCATGACCAAAGGGCATTTGCAACTTGAGTTAGTCTACACTTTACAGGTAAGTCGTGTCGGAGTTCTTGTACTTCTATTGGTTGATTTTGATTGTTAAAATCCGAGGAAACGCTTCAAACAGCATAGCTGAGGTGAGAGAAACGGCACAGAGGGTTGGCTGACCACCCCGATAAAGCTCCCTACATCAAATGTTCGTTCATTTACTGCTAGTGATAGTTGTAAAATTTCCAAGACCATACAAATTACTGTTTCGAAACGTGGATGTGTAAGACTTAGCGACTATTACTATACACCGGCACATGCACAAGGGAGTGTGCTCCGTCTTACCCGCACGAACTCCAGAACTGCTATTGGAAGTCATTGTAAGCACTCTAACGGCTTTCAGTAAGGTTATTGGCCGCTCTCACGATATGACTACTCGACTGTGTCATTCAAGTTCGTTGTATCTGTCGAACTTTTGCGAGCCTCTTGCTATTAGGTTCATGATCACTCTAAACTTGGTTGCACAGGTTCCAAATAAAATCACAGTCATTTGCTCTAACAGGGGCATGAATTGATTATTGGTGGGTGCTATCCCTAAGGAGGCTCTCTCTGCGTGAGAACCGCATTTGCGTGCTACTAGTGGTGATCGTAAGCATCGCCCCCAATTATGAGATGTTACTATGTTTCTATTACTTTGTGGTCGTATTTCCATGCGCTATGATTAAAAGGGCCTCGCTGAGATAGGCGGGAATGTACGTTGATTAACTCCGATTGAGAGGCTATTTGTCGCATAATCTCTGCTCGTGCGACGGAGACTCATGGGACACACTCAACATAGTAAATCGTGGTGTATATCCTAAGACTAGAGCTTGGAGATACTGTGCCAAGAGTTATGTAGCCACGATTGACCTGTCAATGTTCCCCGACCCATTCGCTATCCCAAGAGTTTCGACAATGCCCACTATCCTTGTAAAATCTCCATTTGACTTGCCGGTCCAATTGTTTGCAGAATCTTCTCTTTGAGACATGTAAAGTCTTGCCTGAAGGTACTCCCCAGACGTAATCGCAGGCTTCCCCGGGGATCTGACTAATGTGCCCTCAGAAGTGTGTTGAAGAATCTCAACACGTGCGTCTACAAGTAGCTGACATTAGCGTAAGACATACATGTCTTCAAAGTATCAACTTGCCTTCATTAGCGTTGATAAAATATGCCATAGACCAACGATCCCGTCCTATTGGTAGACTATCGAAAGAAATTCTGTGAAGTGTTGACTTCAAAGTCTGTCCACTCCACATTGCGAGGGCGTCACCTATGTTCACCACCAAGCCATTGGGTATCAGGGGTACAGGGAGCCATTTTCCGGCTGGAGTTTCGACTTCCAGCCCCTCGGAGCGCGGCCAGACGAACGTTAAAGTTCCCCAATCAGTATGAGTTTGGAGTCGAGGAAATCTTTGATCTGGCTGTTCTGTCAATTTCGGATAGTGGAGCATCCGTAGAACGCTTCCAGGACCCTCATTGTCGTCATGAGCGGCAGTGAAGTATTCAGGCGGAAGCCCAAAATGTGTGGCAAACCCACGCAAGAGAAGCAATGCTAGAATATGGCATCGCTCTTTAAAGCTTTCGACATCGTGTCTTTTCTCGGAATCCCACCAGGATGGCACATTGTCGCCTTTTTGGACCTCTCCTTTTGCTCCGCCAAAAACCATCGACTCGTTCACTCCGATTCTGAAAAAGAAGATCAGCATATTTCTTCATTTGAAAAAACAAAGACCTTCGGAAACGATGCCTACCTAGAACATTTGCGATCATAGCCCATCTGCCGTTTATTAACAGTACATTCAGACTTGACTGTTAGAGGTTGCTGGCAAAATTCTCCATGCTAGAGGTTTCTGATATCAGCGTTTCATTTACACTAAAGAACCAATTTCTGGGATACCTACCAGCTCAAACATACGATCAATAGCAGATGATGGAATCCCATGGCCGGTCAAAATCATAAATCCCCACACTTTACATGCTTGCACGATCTCTCTAGTCTTTTCCTCGAAGCATTCCTCATATGAGGATACGTCTATAATGGGGAAAACTTCACTACTCATTTTACTATTTCATATACGGGCCATGCATGAGTGAAGTGAACAGTTGTCATGAAGAGAGTGCAATACATTGCCGACTGATGCTGCTGGTATGAACTCGCCATGTTATCATTGTTGGCAGGGTATGCTTAGATACAGCTTGCGGGGCAAAGGCAAACGGGCTCGGCCGAGATTGAGATATCAAGATAAGAGATGCAGCTTCATACATCAATATTCCGGCCGGAATGAATATAAGTACATGGGAGTTGTAAGCTTGCATGAACGTCCTGAGTTTGAATTGGTCAATAGCATTCTGGGTAGAACAGCATCTCCTCTTGTCTCCCAATCGCCACATCAGCGATTGAGTAAATATCTGTCATTTGGAGTATTACCACTGTCTATCGGGCA